TTAATTGTGCAGCTGGGAGACCACCAGTGTCCATGGAGGTGGACAGCCTCTGTGAGGCTCTTGGTTCTGTCCAAGATGAGATACATAATATCCAGAGACATTGCCCTTGTTGTGTCTTCAGCATGATTCTAATCTGGCTATTGCTTTGCTCATAATACATGATTATTTCATGGTCTTTGGCTTTTCTTGTCTTTTTCTCATCTGAACTCATTATTTGGCTGTTTGCAGTGTTGATGAGCCAAGGTCTTAAACAGATTTTACTGTTGCACTTTCAGTCAGCCGTCCTCTGCGTAAGCATCTGCTGAACGCCTAAGATGTAAATGGGAGGCAATGATTTAAGTTGGAAATGTATTTATGGCTTCTTAATCATTTCCTGGGGGAAAGTGTTCTTTTTGTCCTGTTCCACTTTGAAAGCAAAAGTCATTACGGAAGACAAAAATGGCTCCTGTGCTGCTGAAGGGTTTCATCACTTCTGTTTTTAATGTTTTTCCTCTAGCAACATGTGACAGGGAAGATTTTATGTGTAGTTTTAAATATCAGCTTTGTCCAGAGTGTATAATGCATCCACAAAATACCATTCTGAGGTACACACGGTAGAATTGTACCTTTACTTGAGTTTTTCTTATGCTTTCTTGACAGAAAAAAAACAACACAAACAAGTAATAAGCTTATAAATACATTTGAGAAAAGTGAAGAAAAGAATGAACAGCTCATTTTTTTCTTTTTATTATCAAATCAACAAATCAGCGACTAAAACGAACAAGAAACTACTGATGACTTTAACAAAATATCTTGAAACGCAGTATTTTTAAGTATGAATTTCATGGTGGTGCATGAATATTCAATCCGCCCATTCAAACATACATCATAGTCTTTATATATATTAATTATATTCCTATAGAATGCTGAACACAGTTGGAAAACCTGTTCATCTGAAATCCACAAATTAGCCACCGCACGTCTCGGGCGCTGTCCAGAGTGCTGAACGTGGAGCTGTCCAGGGACTCAGCAGGTTCTGCTGGAATCAGCTCTCATCTACTTATTGTGTTTACCTCAATATCAACACACATCCTGCCCTGCATCTTTTCACTGAGAACCCACCAGGGGCCATATCCACTAAATGTCTCATCTCATTACCAGGAGTTCTCTTAAATAGTGCTGCTAAGAGCTTCCTTTTAGAACTGAGCGAGCAGCTGCCAGGACTCGTCAACTGTCACTAATGTCAGGGCACAGAAATACAAAATACACATTTATATCAGCGAGTTTATCTTTAATAAGTAAGACAGAGTATTAGGGCCATATTGAAGAAAAGAAATTTAAGAGATTTCCAGAATTATGTGGTATTTTCATGAGAATGAAGTTGTAATTTAATATCATGATTTTATTCTCGTAAAAATACAATTTTAAAATCAAAAACTACAACTTTCTTGTCTCTTGTAAAGTAACAACTTTACTTCGGTAATATTACAACTGTATTTTCTTTAAGTGGTCCTTACATTCATCAGATACATTCATTTTGATAACCAATATTTATCTGGCCAAGTTTTGTTTGACTTTCTGCAGTTTGAGCTGTTCCAGTTTGAGCGTGGCTGCTGTCAAAGGATCCATTATAAACTGTACTGAGCTTGTCTTACTGGAGTGTTTTATTTAACATGTGGCTAAAAGTGAAGTTTGAATGAGTTTCTGTGTTGTGATGTAAAACTAAACGGACGTATCAGTTTATCTGCATTTCACAACCATCTGCAGCTCCACATCATTCCTCCTTCTCTCCACTGAAAGTGTCGCCGCCTGTCAGAACTGTTGAGGTCGTCTTGTTTGGATAAACTTTAGTGGAATTGACATCAGGCAACCAGGGGATTCCATGCTTAGGCTTAAAAGTTGCAGGTTTGCCAGAGCAGAAATGCTGACTGAAAGACTGTAAGTTAACAGGATGTGCAGTGAAAACTAAAGCAGATTTAAGAAAGGTCTGTAGTGTTATTTTCAGTGTTACCATGTGGTCACTCTGAGTTCCATCGCTGCCTTATGGGGTTTGTTAACGCTTGTTTTCCCTCTTTGTCTTTCTCCCTCTTATTATCACACACATTATGTAATCTCCCAGCGAGCTGATAAGGGAGTCGTATACTGTAATTGAAGTCGCTCCAATGCTTTTGAAGGGATTGCTCTGTGATATAAACATGAAAGACGGGCGGGGCTGAGATATGGTGCTCTACATGAGCTCAGCTCATTTTCTCTGAGTACATCTCAGAGAAACCACATTTGGAGAGAGAAACTATCTTTTGATCAGGACAAGGATGGATTGTAATGTATGAGTTAAGATGCTGCTTTGTGGTGGAACCTGTTCACCTCCAAATGTTGCCAAAACAAATGATGGCTCTTATGTAGGAGCCAGAGAAAAGTGATGCTGTGGGACAGTGTATTCCCAGAGGATGTGAACAGACATTGTGTCCCTGGAAGTTATCTCTGTGCTCTGCATTTCCAGTCCAAACAGACAGGAATGCTG